CCCCCGCGGGCAACGCCCTACAACAATCAAGTAGACTTCACGACATCGAAGGTGCTGCGTTTGCCGGTGTTTTTTGCCCTCGCGATCGCTTGGGCGATGGAACTAGTGTGCAAGGTGAGCGACGGGTCGGATCTAGTCGGAGACATGGGTTTGCCACGCTATTCTACAGCAAGTAGTTGCTTGCCGTGTGTTTGCACAACTGTGCACGCAGACACTTTGTCACGACGAGTTCCTGGTGAGCATGTGTGCTATATATACGCTTGTTCATTCATTGCCTATCCCCCCTCCTCCAGCGAATGAACGAAGAGAATCATCAGCTGGACTGAATATTGCACACGGGTGTGATGTACCCGATTGTGTGTCTTATTTTGGAGGCGTCGAGCGGGGTATGCGCTTGTCCAATGAACCGGCATCCGCGCTAGCCGGACACACATCGCGCCAAACGTCCGTGTATGCGTCTGTCGCCGACTTGTATTGGTCTCCGCGCCGCACGTGCTAAGCAGCCCCTGCCTGAGGCATTTCTCCTGTGTGTCAACGCCATTCGGATAGTGCCCCCGGCACCTCCGATACGAGGATACGCGAACTACAATACACACGGAATCACATTGGTTTTGGTTTTGCCAGTGACTCTGACCGACGTTTTCCAAACGCTTAGTGGAACGGCAGTAGCACCGACACCCAACAAGCAAATTGATCGACATCTCGAGTCCAACCTCCTTCTGCACGCCCCTACTGTCTTTATTATCACGTTGCCGATGTAATGCTGCCTCTGTGTCTCTGCCTCTGTGTCTCTGCCTCTGCGACTCGGCTCGGTTTCTCTTTTTTCTTATTCTGCACACCCAGATGAAGCTGACGGAAGCTCCCCCTTCGATAACGCGTAGCGAAGTCCGGAAGCTGGTCGAGAATCGTTGCTCAGACATCGAACGAGCCCGGAAGGATCTGGGGTATGAGCCTAGGTGGGGAGTGAGCGTTTGATGGACCGCTTCACAGGGAAACCCGCAACGTTTGTCCGTTCAGGAGTTTAGAGGGTCCTTTGTTTGGCCATGTTGCTGGTGATGTGATGCTAGGTTTGATTTTCACGGGAGAGAAGATGAGAAGTGTCCTTGTCGCCCCCCACAATATCTTGAGCGTCATTGTTGTTGTCCTCTTCGTCCAATTCTCCTCGCTACTCATACATTGCCACAACCGCTTTCACCTCTCCCTTTGCCCACACCACTGTTTCAATGTGTGGCACTCCGTCTGAAAACAACTGAACCGGGAGAGAGATACACGCTCATGAAACCAGACCTAGTAGTGAACACTGAGGCGAAACCCGCGTTATATCGATGGAACACTCCCACACGCGGATCGGTTACATCGCTCGAGATTGGACCAGAACTAGGTGCCATTCCTTGTGCGACACGCCTGCCATCCGCTAAAAAACAACGCCAAGAGCAAAAAAATGTGAAACCTTATGACAGGGTGGACCGCAACACCGCCCTGAGGACGATCGTGGAGGACCTCAAGAGAGACGGATGGGGGCGGCACACCCTCCTCGTCCCGGGCCTCGGCTACTGGATCTGCATCCCCCTCGGCATTTGGCTCAATGCCGTGGCTGCTTTCAAGGAGCTGTGCCCCGCCTTCTTGGCACCGGTTCAGCGATTCTGTGAGAGCGCGTTACGCGTATGGTGTGGTGTATTACGTGTTGTTCGGGTGGCTGTGCTGGAACTGAGCCCTCATCATGCCTTTGTCGGGTGTGTCGTGCTACAACGTTCCTTGCCGACGTGCGCGGTTGTGTGTGTTGTTGTTATTGTTCTTGTGGCGGTGACGGTGTGAGTTTTGCTTGTGGTCGTTTTGTTTGAGCGCAAAGACACACCGATGAGAGGGACATCGTGTGACGATGCGGCCGAATCGACCGCGGTTTGAATGTTTTCCAAGTTGAATTGATATGTAGACGGAAATGGTACAACACACGATATCTCTCTTCGCGTGGCAAGCTCGTGGTATGTATGTGCTCCGAGACCGAAAAGCTTGTCGTCCGCCTCTTCTGGCGTCTGCACACATGTACTCGTGAAAGAAACTCCAACCCTACCCCCGTCCCCCCTGTAGTCAAAGCAGTCATCCATACAACCGTTGCCTCCCGCCCCCGCCCCCCGATCCCCGTTCATACTGTGCCGCATGCCGTGGTGCGAAACCGAACAAACAACAGCGCTGCACATCCATCTCGCGGTTTTTCGAAAGCTGTGGATCGTCCGCCTGGTTTGCGTTCTTGCCATCCTGGCGCACGTCCTGGAAGGATGGTACGCCTTCGTCCGCGCCAAGAGGGCGGGCCACGGGGACACGGCTCCCCGGTGGCTGATCCAGGTAATGACGACACGGGAATGCCTAAGCAAATATGCACCTGGTATGCCTCAAGATGAAACCCTTTGGCTCTTGTGCTTGCCGTCGAAACCAAAGGAAGGCTCTGTCCAAGATTGCTTGAGACATATTCCTCATCATGGCTCATGCGTACTTAATAGATCCGACCGTCATTGCCATTCTCTCTTTTGTTTTGTTTTCGCTTTTGGCAGACTTTGATCCTCGGGTACCCGTCCACCCGCTTGGTAATGCGGCTCTTGTCATGAGAACGAGAACGGCCTCTTCCGCCTACGACGGCGCTAGAAGGCGCACTTCAGGTCAGCAAACACGCGGGCGGGGTGGCGGCTTTGTGTCTACGAAGCGGGGTGTCGTGACTGCTCTTGTGGCGGGATGTGCGTGTGCGTGTCCGTGTGTGTTTCCCGAGCGTTTATGTGGTGTCTGCACACAACCTGTCTGGTGCGAGGGGGGGGAGGAGGGGGCAGCCTCTGCCGCCGGCGCCGCTGCACGATGGTGCATGTTTTGTTTTTTTGTTTGTTTGGGGGGGGTATGGTGCGGTGCTGCGGGATGCGGCGGTCCTTCGGGACGGTCCTACCATGGAGAACGGCCACGTGTTCCGTTGATATGTGCGCCTTTTGTGCGAAGCAGAGAACACCTACTATTGCGGGGATTTTTTGGGTGTGGTGTGTAGCCGAGTATGACTTTGGTGCGGTAGACATTTTGTTGCTTGTTTTTTTTTCGTGTTGACCGCCTGGGCCCTGATGGTGGGGGCTCGGGGTGGTATATTGTTTCCGTCGGTGGGTGTTGGCGAAAAGAGCAACAGCAGTGTGCTCGACTGAGTCGTTCGTTGCTGTCTCCAGATAGATTCACGAGAGTACTTGTACTCCATCTGTGTTCAGGAGAAGTCTACAATGCTGTCGTTTTTCGTCGGGGTTTGCTGCATGGCTGCATGCATTTGTTTGGAACGCGTGTCTTGCAGGTGTTCTCTTCTTGTTGATGTACAAGAGGCCGTGCCGGCAACTACTTGTATTTATGTCACTACTCGCAGTCGTGTTTTATGTGGACGCAGGGAATCGTGAAGCCTGCAGTCGTGGTTGAAGATTTTGTCGCTGGCGTGACGTGTGTTTTTTTCACATATTTGCGGGTCCGAGGTTTGACCACACCGGTGACAACGTCTTTGTGGAAAAAGCTACGTCTATGCTTGCAGGTTTGTCGAGATGGTGATCTTACGGGCCTTACGTGTGACAGTGTGCTTGAGCTGTTGCCGTTGATTCAACACCGAATCCTTGCCCCTTACACGTGATGACCGCTACGTCAAGTGTCATGCCTGACTCGAGGAGGGTGTTTACAAATAAGTTTAGGAGACGATTCGCGCTTGACGAGGCGGCGAGTGCCTTGAATCAGATGGACCCGGAGCGATGCTAACCGTTCGGGATACTTTGCGGCAAGGCGTTATGGTTTGTGTACGGCTGCCTCTTGCGCAGTGCGTGGCGCTCGCAAGGGCCCGGCAGACACTGCTGCATTGTCTTTTTTTCTGCGATGCTTCCAACCAGGGGGAGCATTCGTTGACGTTGTCGCTGGCACAAGACTTTTTGTCGGATTTGTTGTTCTGGGCCAAGCGTTGAGCTGTGTTGTGGCGTTGAAAAGCATACAACCCTTCCCCATTTATCGAATTTTCTTTCTTATCAACTTGTCTTTATTAGTTTGTCTTTGAGGGCACGGCCATATACCCCGTCGGTGGGGTTGAGTTCTTGTCTCATCACTCGTTTCTGGAATTTCTCATGACGTTTTCATGAAAACCTCATGAGAATCCTAATAGAATGTGGAATTGTTCTGGAGCCCCTTGAAAGTCGACGAAGACAAATGTTGCTAGCAGAGCTCCTGCTTCCCTCTGTGGGTTTACATTCTTCGGTGTCCGGGATAAGACCTACGACTCAAAGCCTCCCCTCAGTCACTCGAACAGTCTTCCCACTTTTCTTCTTGCATTTACACGCGCCAAGACCCAACAAACAGTTGCAAAGAGAAGAAAACCCGAGCTTATCCGAAGCACCACTTACATTGTAGTGAAGCTGAAGTCTAGGAATTCGTCGGCAGCACCCTCTAACGGCTGCCGCCCTCGATACACATCACCCCATTGTTCAAGCCCCTGAACGAAGAACAACAGGTGAAGTTCGCATACAACATGCTGCCAGCTCTATCCCTTGTCCTCACCCCCACCTACAATTCGTAGGCTAAGCCCCGCCGCGTAGCAAGCCACCATGCACACAATCAAAACCGCTCCCGCACACTCCTGCTAATAGCGTATCAAGGCCGGGATCGGCCACACCCTCTCGGACTCCATGGTGGCTGAGATAGGTGTGTCGTAGACTTGCAGGTACTTGAAATCCAGAAAATGTACGCAAAAGCGGGGAAATAAGCCAGGAAGGAGGGAAGAAGTCAAGCAGGAAGATAATTGTGTAGGCAGGCTGGTGTAACCGCCAGGCGTGCCTTAGATGGGCGAGTGTGCAGGTGGTTAGCCAAGCGCAAGGGTCGGGCAAATCGAACGTAAGGGTTGGAGGGTCGGACTTTGTTGTGTCGTTCGTGTTTGGGCTGGCTGGGGACTGAAATGGTGATTTCTCCCGTTCCCGATCTCACCTCGGACAAGCTCATGTTTTTCTGCGTTTCCGCCAACCCCAGCACTCGTTCGTTGGAGGGTACGAGGTGGTTGTACTTTCGCTTCAGCTCTGACACGGACGTTCCCGAGTGCTGTCTCATCTCCGACGCGAGCTCCACAAGTTTACTGTTGGTTTGCGACAGCAAATTATTAGAACGGGAGTCTGTTTTGATGTCAGGAACGACAACAACAGCATCATCGTCATCACCAACATCAACACCGAGACAGAATCGACGGTATCAACAAGTGACAGCACCAACCAATCATACCATTGAGCTATTCAGACACCGATCGGTTTTTACGATTGATTTTCGGTGGCAAAAAACTCATGGGAATTTTCGGTGAAGGTTCACGACGTGGTTGGCCGACAAGGGTCTTCGCGTGCTTGTTGCACATGATATACTGTGTCACGAGAGTCGGCTATGTACAACCGTAGTTAGATTTTGGATAAAAGCGGAGGCGTTGGATGTGTGCACAGATTCCAATATTCACGCCTAGCAGTTGAAGGAGAACTCCACAAGGGTGGGTGGTGCTCACATTCAATCGCTCCAACTAGCAATACCTATCCAAAACCCAACTGCGGCTACGTGGTCTACCCACTCGTACACTCCCCAGGAGGCTTCTACCGGCTCCTCTTTGTCAATGTCCACGTTGCTCTCCGCGTTGAGCTGGATGTTGTAGTGGAACCACTTGGCGAAGTACGGGGCGGGGCAGTCTTCGCTCGACACCAAGATCTTCACCTGCGTTAGCGATAGCATTATTGGTAGTTGTGACAGTTACTCGATGCGACATGTGTTCCCAAACGAAAATGATGGGTGACCAACGACGGACACCGACCAATAACGACAGACAGTGACACGAGCAAGCGGGACGTTGACGGTCACGAGCGAGCATCACGGAGGGAAGCACTTCCGTACGAAATGTAGCGACCAAAGGAACAGGAGGCAGACGAAAGAATAGGCGTACACACCCTTCGCCTTGGAAACCCGACGTCGCCTGGTGCTGATTGTTAGCGTTTTCATCACGATGCTCGGCTTGATGGGCAGACGGACGACAATTTTTGCTTGCAAGACGGGTGTGCGATCTACGTACGATAACAAAACACAGGCCAGGCTCGTACCAAGAACATGTTACAGAAACTTGCACTGCTCGCTTGGCTCTTCGGATAGGCTTACAAGCTCACCAGATGACACAAACAAACGAACACTTGTCGTTTCCATGGAACATCATGCATAAGCATAGTTCAGAACACTGGGTTCTTGCTTGGGCGTGCAGCACGAGCGGCTGTCCACCCGTTGTTAATCTCCAACTCTACGGCGAGTCTCTCGGCATCCTCTGGATAGGTGCATACTACATAGCCCCGGCAGAGGCTCAGCACGTTGCTTTCTCCTCTCCCACAAGAAATGCACTGCCGGGAAGGCCAGAAAATCCTATTTGAGAGAATAATAATAATCGTCACTCGTCTCCTTCTGCAACTTGCATTCTCCATGACCCGTGCTGATGGATCCAGGTCGGCCTCCATGCTCTGGATCTGCCTCAACAGCGCGGTTGATGTATCCATCGACGTCTCCACCAGGTGAATAATGCTTTCCTTCTGCACTATCAATACGCCTGTGATGGTTGCCGCGTGCTGTTCCGACAAGATCTCCTCAAACACCTGCTTAGTTTCCATGTTTCAAAGGAATATACAGCCGAAATCAAACCATTAGACTAGTCAGCATGAGTTAGTTGTGGGTTCGAGACCCAGGCTGGACACTATGAAGCGTTATTTTCCCTGAGACCCTGGAAACTCTCGGCTAGAGTATGGGTGACGGAAGGACTCGTGGACCCTGGAACATTCTGCAGGATGTGGGTGGCGCGTGATATGAATCGAAACAATTGGTAGCGCTGGCAAAGGGAGTCACCCTCCTCGGAAGTGAAAGAGACGGGGCTCACAAGTCCCATGACTAACTTTATTGAAGCTGAAATGAAACCATTAGATTAGTCAGCGCTGACCAGTCTAATGGTTTGATTCGTCTTCTATAGGCACAAGCGTGATTGGTGTAGACAGTACAATATTTAACAATTTTCGATGATTCGAAGCCCTCGGCACTGCTGCAAATCGTAGAGGAGAGAGAGAGGTAGCACTACGGAGCGCATGGCACCTACGCATGGCGCACGGCGCACGAGATTGTTCAGCGTAATAGAGAGCGACTGCCTGTGGGCACCACGGCATGGCATTTTGTTTGCCGTGCCTAAGTCTGATGGCCGTCCAGCGACAGCAACAGCCCTTTTGGTGCCTGTGATCAAGAAAAATCAAACAAGGGGCGAGAGTCAGGTTCGTCATCGTCACCGTCGCGACTGTAGGCTACGATCTTGTCTGATATGGTGAAGGATCCACCGCTGAGTTGTGTTTTGGAACTGACAGCATTCTACCATTTTATTCGAACTGCTGTAAAATTCATTGGTTCATACTACTTAGTCTGCGAGTTGTCCAGATGGACTACGTATGAGTTTGATCGAAGCGCGATGACGCGCAACGAGGATGATGTCCGCGGTAACGATACCATCTGTGTTGTCCTTGTAGTATCAGTCCCTAAAAACACTGGTTCACCGCAAGTGAAACAGAGGACGTGTCCGCCGATAGTTGCGACAATCCTAAGGATGGATCCGATGCTTGCGCAATAGACTACATACAGTCATTATGCACGTGCATACCACACTTGGAGCAGTTGTCTCCACCATGGGGTCAAATGAGCCGGCAAGGCTGCGACACTTGTGTTCGTTTCTCTCGCCTGCTCATGATACTGCACTACCGCATCTGGGTCGTCGGCTGCCTCTCCTTTTCTCGCAACCAGCAGCAGTCGTGCCACGCTACCTCGCCCTCCTTGTTTTTCCAGACGGCCATCGAGGTGATCGAGGTAGTTTGATGTGAGACTCATGACACTCAGCCAGTGCAGCCAGCACGACGAATTAGATGCGCTTATTCCCTCGGGTCTGTTAGATCGATAGATGCGTCAAGGGTTTCATTTTTTTTGGTAGTGCCCAAACGTCGGCTGGTGGGGTGCTTTATGAAGTCACTTTTTCAGACAGGCGGCACCAGAACACGAGAAAATATTAAGAAAATATGACCGTTACGTTGCAAAGGCTCTCGTTGTCACCTTGCGGATGGCGGAAACTCGTGGTGAGTTGTCTACGTTCGATCCTTTTCAGAAATTGACAAGAAACACACGTACTTCTCGGGGCACCCCTGCCATTCAGCGAATAGTGCGATAGGTCTATACTGCTGTGTGAGAGGTGTGTGAGAGATGAGATATGAGAGATGAGAGATGAGAGTTGTGCGATCGCACAGCGGCGAGATCGGGACGCGGCGGAATATGGTGCGGCGGAACTACAGGACGACACTTACGACACTAGAGCCTACGACTTCACGAGTTCCACTGCACATGCAACGCGCAACGGACTCGCTAGCGCGCGAGTGCAGTTCCAGGTTCACCACACACCCACTCAGAAGGCGAGGAAGTGGCTTTCCTGAAGTGATACACTAGGCGCGCATGGATCTTGGCGCACGCTGTGTGCCATCGGGTGTGCCTACCACCCCACGCCCTCGGCACCCGGCACCCAACCCAAGGTTTGATGAATCTTTCTGCTCCTCCTGTCTGCGTAAACTTATGAATAACGCATGGCATACCGAGTTGGGTACACGGCTGTTATTTTTACAAGGCCGGTTGTCGGCGCGCTAGTTGGCGTGTATGCGTCTCACCAACTTCCTACAAGACGTTGTAACTCGGGCCGGTAGCAGGATGCCCGCGACGAATTTTTCATACTGACCAGAAATTTCTCTGTCCTCGTGCGCGTGTGTGTTTGTGTACCGCTCAGGTACAACGATCTTACGCGCCCGCGCTCCTTGCAGATAGACGCAGATGCCCGCCAAGAGCAGCAACCGAATGTCAGCGGGCGTGATTATGTTTCAGGCAGCACTTCAGGTACACGAAAGATACGTACACTTCTGTGATCTCTGCATATTCAGCAGTTCCCGATAAGACCCAGAAAGGATGTGAATCATGCAAAACACATTTATCTGTACATTTGCAAGTCTCGATTGCAGGAAGGGTCACAGAAAAGGCGACAGGGGATTGTTTCAGAGATGCCTCGGCTCCGCAAGTGTACAAAAGTATCCAACTGCCGTATTGACAGTTTACGTGCACGTGCGTATGATCCGTTATCGATCAAAGGGTCATCTCTATTTATGATTGATGTATTCTACAATCAATGCGTGTAAGGTTCCTTTGAAAAAAAGTTCAATGTGGAGGACACCGTCGGAATATATAACCAACCATTTGTGCACATACAAAGTATAGGAAGATATGATTCCTCGGGGTAACTTGCCATCGGGAAAAGTGGCACGTAAAGCACCGAGGAGATTTGTCTCTTCGGAAGTCCATGGCCGCTTGCCGAGGGAAGGGATAGGGGAGCCTCCGGCTCGCCTCTCTCGACCCTCTGGTCAGACTCTTTTTCTACCTCTCTCCTGGTTACATCTCACGAAAGGAAATAGTCACCCTTGGCAGTGGGAGAATACTGCAAGAGCACCGGCCTCTGTCTCTGACAGGGACTAGTGTCCTCACCAATAGTATTTAGTCTGTCGATGGTCTACGAACACAGTCAATGTACCATTCGCACCCCTCTGCACCACTCAGGCGGTATACGACCAGACATGTTTCTCTCGCTTTTTTGGACAACCTATGGTTTGGCTCAAGTGGCAATCCTACAAACATAAGCGACTATAGGAGGGTCGTATTTTCAAGTACCTTCGTGCAAGCAATGCTGCTGTATTTAACGTACCTGTTCTTGTATTGGTTCTGAAGGTAACGGCAGACTGGAGGCGCCGGTGAACTTCTGTAATGACTTCATCGTGAACATTGTAAGGTGCGAGGGCTAGCGAGGAAACACGAGTCTAGCGAGTAGTGGGACGATCACTCATGCCCTCCACCTTACAATGCAATGCAGGTGGTGAACTAGGGCGACAACACCATCAACAACCCACGCGGCAGCAGTTTCAGCAGCAGCAGCAGCAGCAGCAGCAGCAGCAGCAGCAGCAATGGCAACCGTGGTCGGGGTCGAACGCCGAAGAAACAAACGCGACGCTCTGCCGAAGTGCCAGCGGCAGCAATACGAGTTCTGAGGCGGTCTCCGAACAGCAATGGAAGTCACCATTTCCCCCCGATCCGGAATTCCCGCTGCCATGGCAGGGAAACATAGACCTCCCGGAGAGCGACGAAGAGACCATGAACGCCGCGCAGGTTGGACAAGAGAACATTTGTCTCGCCAACGATCTCAATCGTTGTACAGTGGGATATCGATCTTGGAGTGTAGATGCCACCGTCCGGTCTCAGCCCGTACAATTTACTTCGAAGTTGTCACTGGAGATCCAGGGGGTGTCATATTTCGGGCGACCGCGGTAGAGTACCTGCGAGCCCGAGAGGCCGGTACCGTAGAAGGGATGGCTGCTCGGTTTATGTGGCGTTGTGTTACAACGTGCCAATCGCTCGTCTTTGAACGTTGCCACCACACCACGCGTATACTTTTTCGCCTCCGGAATTGTTTTTTTTCCTCGCGCCCAACTGCGAGCGCTTTGGTGAAGTGAGTAGCCTAACCATCCTGGAAAACATCGCAGTCCTCCCATGATGCACCCAAACGTGTCTGCCTTGTTTTTTCCATCTATCTTGTGCGAAAAGTTACGAAAGTAATGAAGGATACTTGCCCACACCCCATCCACCAGACTTGCTATCGTAGACCTATTCTCGGTCAAAGACAGCAGGCAGCTTTGCCGCCCGATTGCGCCAATACGCTCATCCTCTCATCGTGGATCGTTCGTTCCTGTGGTCGCCGACTTTTGTCCTCGAGATTTCGGGTGATGCGCCGTGTGACGGTCAGCGTTATTGTAGGTTGTATACCTTCCTCGTTGCTCCGTTCACCCTGAGGTTGACAGTTCTCGTGTCCACCTGACGTTTTCTCATATGCTCATACCTTGGAATGTGCCTACTTTCCTCCTCCTCTTCCGTTTCGCCAGACATGGATCGCGCAGATCCTTCACGAAAACTTCGAGGACATGAGCGACGACGACGTTTTCTTGTCAAACGGGGGTCTTACCGATGGACGCGTGCTCTGTCGAGTCGCAAATGCCATAGCCCCCGGCAGCGTGAAGAGGATCCACCAGGACAGGTCTAACAACGTGAGTAGCGAGAGAGAGAAAGAGCAAGCTTTGCCAGTATCGCAGAAGTACTAGTCTTCCGCCATCCGAACAGCCAGCAAACTGTGGATGACAGAGAGACGAGAAGAAAATAAAGTTGCTTGTTTGGTTGAGGGTATGGTCCACTGCACGAACGTTTCCCGCAGCTGCCTCCGACCGCACCGTAGGCATGTCCAAGGGTAGCGAACCTGGGCCATTGGCATGAGTAGGGTGAGACACCTAAGTTCACGTGCTTTTCTTGCCCTCTTCGTATTCCCCCTCCTCCCCATACACCCGAACGAACCGTTGTTCCGTTGTCCAGGATAGCAACATGTGCAGCTTCCTGATAGCGTGTCAAACGTTTGGCGTGCCCGCCGGAGCTCTGTTTGACGTGAACGACCCGTGAGTGTCCCTACATGGTAGACACACCTGTGAAAAAAGAAAACTACAATTTTCCCCATAAGCACTATACTAGTGAGAAAGCACTTTATTGGATAGCACAGCTATGCACTTCTGAATGCCGGCACTTACAAGCGACAAAGAAGGTAACATCAACTTTCATGACATTGTGCAGCACCGCCAGTACTTTCATCTATCCTCGCTTCCAACCCATTCCCGCTCGCAACTTCCCACCCTCCCCACCTCCAGGGACCCCCGGCGCGTGGGGCTATGCCTGCACGTGCTCAGCCGTGTAGTCCGAGACACCGTTCCACAGTTCAGAGGGCCTTACCTACTGGGTAGGTCCAGCAGCAGCCGCTCTTGGTCGCAAACGGCAGCCGCTGATCGTAACAGTGGCAGCGGGAACACGAGCACCCACCGCAACAACCTGCCGTCCTCCGAGGGGGTCTGGTCTGCTGGGCCGGAGGCCTCGCGGCAGTGGCCAGTCACCATATCCGATGAGGATCGCCTCTACCAACACGATCGCTACCAGCAGCACCAGCGTAGGCCTCGACCGCCGACCCCACCCCCGGAGGACCGCCCCCGTCCCTTGAGCTTCCCTTCGCGGTTCTCGCCCGCTGCCTCGGCGGGGGCCACCGTGTGGAGCAGCCATTTCCCTTCGTCTGCCTCGCTGGACGGGCTGGGGGCTGTAGCGGGAACGCCGGCGGGCGCGGGAAACCACGGTGGCATTGGTGGTGTTGGAGGCATTGGGGACATCAGTCGCAGAGGAGGCGGAGAAGGAGGAGGAGCAGGAGGAGAGGCGGCCGCCGCTTCTATATGGCATACCACCACAGGAGCAGAGGCGGCGCCGCTGGGCAAGGTGCGTGCAATAAGGCTAGGCAAGGTACAAGGAGAGACATTGCTTGGCCGTTCATCCGCTCTTGCTTGCTTGTACCCCACACCCTTGTTGGTGTAGCCTACCGCGAGAAGCGTACTCGTGTATGTGCCGTGTGTGAGGTGGGTCAGTTTCGGGGGAGGGCACTCGTTCAATACAAAGTCAACGCTTTCTGAAGAGGGCCGGGGCGCCTGTCCTTCAGACAGCCCTCTTGACAATACCTTATCCTCACGAGTCTCTCATCCACCATGAAAGGGGCTACCCGTAGCACTCTTTTCTTTCGTTCCAAACCCCCTCTCCTTCATGCTATCGTTGTTACTTGGGAGCAGGACGGGCCTTTAGAACATGCGTCCCCGTCGCCGGAGAGCCTGTCGATATGGCTGTCGAATCTCAACCTCGGCACCTTTGAGAGGGCCCTCGTCAATATCGGTGTGGAATCGATCGGAGATTTACGGTGAGCCAGGGCGAGAGAGAGAGAAAGAGAGAGAGAGAGAGAAAGAGAGAGCGCGAGAAAGAGAGAGAGAGAGAGACAAAGAGAGAGATAGAGAGAGAGGCTCCAGGCCTCTCACCACTATGATCGTTGGACCCCCGACAAGCAACTGGATGTTTTTATCCCCGGCGGCGGATGAACGCGCGCCATGCAACCGAGACCTGCAGCGGCTCGAAGGTCATAGGTTGTGCCTGCATGCACACAGAAGGAATCACACGACAATGTCTCCGCCTTCTCTTTCGCCTTGAGTGTGCCGGTACACCATCTCGGTACTTTTCAGCTCCGAACCTTCCCCACCTGGGTTGACACATTCCTCCTTGACTCTCCCGTTTTCGGTTGGGACCGGCTGCTCGACATTGGATTATCTCGCATGTGTTGGTCACTTTTCTCCCTCCCACACCTGTGCGGATATGCCTGCCGGGTGATCACCGCAATGAACCTAAAAAGGTACGTCCAAGAGGAAGACCTCAGTGAAATTGGCATGCACGGACCGCAGATCCGGAAGCTTTTACAGAACCGCCCGTGATGTTCGAGCAGAAAAGGGCAGACAGAGGAAAGGAGAGACAAAACGACGCAGCCAGAGAAGAGGAAAGAGACTGCGGCCCGACAGAACCCGTTTCAAGGGGGTGGTATTCAAGAACAACGAAGTTTCAAGCACGCAGGCGGTATGGTGTTCGACGTCGTGCAGTCAAAAGCAACATGTAATGGGTCGTGAAATGCGGGGGGGGGGGTCAGGCGAGACTGCCACGAGAAAGAAAGTCCTCACATGAGCAGAATGAGTGAGCCCATGTTGATTCTTCGGACCGTTCGAGGTAGTAATGCTAGGCATTTGCGCTTCCGCCGCGAGGCACGAAAACAAGTGTGATCACGAGAATAGCACGAAACGGGCGGGAAAACCTGTGAGTGAGCTGCTTGCCACTAACCGCTTAGGGAATTCCGCATTGGGGCGCCGATTTCGCGAGTGTGTTCAGGAGGAACTAGCCACGACAAACGATGGCAGCTTTCACGATAGATGAGGTTGGGTTGGGTTGATGCACAAACATGCTTGCCGAAGACGCTCGGCTGTGGATTGGGCATCGCTCTTGAGTAAAGGGCAGTGGAAGGGGAGGAGGGTTGTCGATTTTATTCGGACCCATCGACCGTAGAGCAGATTGCATCGGTCTCCACCTCTCGCGAACATGTCGGAGGGTGAGCCATCTGCATGTTCTGGCAGGCGGTTACCGCCCGACGTCGTTGAGTATTGTATTTCTTTCTTTTGCACTTGGTTTGTTCAAATTGGTTTGTGTATGCGGTTGTCTGTGTGTGTGCTGCTTTAGTTGCGCGTCGAGACGTACATCAACAGCACGTATCTATATCGAGTGAAAAGTAGGTGGCGGCTGCTTTAATAGGGAAAAGACCTTGCGACCGGCAGACAGACGAGAGTCTGTCTCGTGGATACCACGAATTTTTTTATGTACAGAAGTTCTCATGATTCTCTTCGCCATACACTCTTGCCAGCTGAAGTGGATTAAACAAAACAAAGCCTGCCCGAACGATACAATACATCGTCTACACGACCTGCTGCCGCTGCAGGAGCACGCCTACACAAGTGCTTTTCTCAAGCTCATGTAGAAACCCGCCGCCTTCACAAGAACCGCTGTCGACGGCAGCGAGAAATCGAGTGGCGCACTCCACTACGGGTCCATCCGCTTTGATGCGCTCCGACTACTAAGGCTCCGCTTGCAGTCACGGGGATTTGCTAAGCACTGGACAGAAGCGGACACGGGACAAACCATTTGATTTATCGGCTGGATTACAACAAGTTTCTATCCGAATAGCAGCGATTTCACAACAAGCACAAGGTGACCACCGCCCACCCAGAATTCACGAAGCCTCTTACGTTTCTTCGTACTGCTGTTTCTGACGAAGAACTCCTGAGGTGTTGGTTGCCGGCATACCAAAACAGACAAACACAACTAGTCTGGATGGTGATCTCCGCCACGGTAGAAGGGCTGCACGACAGTTTTATAACTTTCCCGCTCTGGATGCGAGTTACACTTATAGACCAACCTTTGATCTTCTCGTACGTCGTTTGGCTACAGAAGTCTCGTCACAGCGTCTTTTCTCTGCAAAGCCAGACCGCGCACGGGCGCGCGTACATTCGTTCACACTCCCTACCACACACACAGACCCACGCACGACCTTACGAGAGCAGGGCAGCCGAAGCCAATGCCAATCAACTTGGACACTTCTCGTTCCTGTCGTTTGCACGACAAGGATAGTTTCAAAACGAACGATACGAGTCTTAGTCGTTTGGTGAACAAACACGGACAATAGGGCGGGGGGGGGTGGAGTCGAGCTCTAGATAAACGGGAGGGGGGGGACACTGCATGGAGGACACATTACTACTTCCTCGCTCCATCTCAAAACAATGTTTGATTGATCAGAAAGTGTTCGAACCAATTTTTTTGCCGCATCTTCTGCGCACAACCATTGGGGTGAAGAGACTAGTCTAGCGGGTTAGCTCCTCGGCTGACAACACGCCCTCCGCCTCCTCCGCCACCTCCGTCAACTCCGCCACATCCAGCCCGCTGAGGTACTCTTCGCAAGATCTCGGCCTTTCGTCTCATCGCCGCAATCTGTAAGGGTTGTGCGTTTGCCGCGCGTGGGCGTATTCGAAGTCGTCGGAAAACACAGCAACAACAATGTAGTGTTCAGATAGGCGGTGATTTTCGAGCGTCCAGACCTTGGCCGCCCTGGCCAGGCGTGCTGATTGAAATCATGAATGCAAGCGTTTTGTTTCAAAACCAAGAAATCGATCCAGTCCCCTCAATCCGTCCTTGTCTCCCTCTTTTCCTTCCTCGCCCCGCTAGCACACGTGCTCCGTAGACCTAGAGGAATCCCCGACGCAAAACAAACCAACCAAGACACGGACTATTTCCCGCTCTCCCTGCCCTACCTCACCAGTACCCCCGCTCCTCTCCCTTTTCTGACCTTTTTCTCCATCCTGCTTTCCATTTCTTTTCTCGTTTCTGACAGCAACACCGGCCGGTCTCCGTTGCTGTACATGTTGGCCTCCTCCCCGTCCGACTCATCGTCGTCGGATACATCCGGGAAGTCCGAGCCCTCCGGGAGCTCCCACGACGGCGGCTGAGGGGGTCCGTGGATGGGGTTCGCCTCTGGGTCTGTGGCGGCGAGCTTCTTCGTGTAGTTCGAGATCACCTTCAGTTTTACATTTTGTGTGTGGGGTGGGGGGGGGTGAGAGCGGATGAGAGGGTGTTTCTCGACATGCTGATTTAACATGATATGATACTCGATCAAACGCGTGCATCGAAAGGGTGCTTATACTGGCGCCAGAACAAAAAGGACAAACACGCGCACATTGGCCAGCCGGTAAGCACGGTCCTGGTAAGAAGAGGTACAACGTGCACACACACACAGGATTTCGCCCTTGTGAGGGGGGTGGGGACGTGCAACGCATATTGTACCGAGCGTTTGAGAATTTTGGAGATTCGCCACTCGTGAAGTTCAGTGAAGCCGAGGGAACTCTTACCCCTTAGGCGGGAGCCGTATGGTTGTGGGTGTTCTCTCATCTTGGTTATCCCTATCCTGTCCACTCTTTCCCAACGTTTAAGGTCCAACGTGTCTCTCGAGGAAGATATATCGCTCCATCCAAACGAATCTTCAACTTTGAGCTTGCGACCATCGACTTCGCCAAGCTCCTGCCCAGCTTCTTCTTCTACCTGGAAAGCATGCTGAAAAGCACTGACTGCCTCAGGCTGCGCTCATTGACCAAATCATTCGCCGACAAACCTGCATAGAACGCTGCTCGATGAGGCTCATGTAGTCAACAATGTTGGACACCGTGATGCCCTGCCCGGTCAGGGTACTCGCCAGGGCCTGCAGGCCGGCCGCGCGCTCCCCCGTAGCGTCCTTGGCCTTCGTCTGCAGGTACTGGTCGCACTGGATCTTGAAGCAGATTGACTGAGCCTGGTTGTGTCCATCAGAAAAAGGGAAGAGACGAAAGCGGGAGGGGAAAGAGACATCGCAAGACACAAATATCACGATCTGAGTGCTGAGCCTTCGTCATTTGAGTTTGTTAGTTGACAAGAAAGGGATTGCATTACATCCGGAAACATGTCGTTGTGCATGTGTTTCGGGAAGGAGTCAGGAACGGTGACCTGTGATGAATGTTCACTGGCGACTTGATTGAATAACGCAAGAGTCAATCGGAGCAAGAAAATAATCGAATGGGCGGGACTGTTGTTCGTTTATTGTTTTGATTTTTCAGCCGTACGGGCGCAGACAAGTCACCACGGTCACATGTTTGTGATCATTGCTTACAGCACAAGTCGTCGGTGTCCCACATTTTCTCTCGTGACGGACGTTGGGACACGGCCACGTAACTGATATGCTCGAGGCGGTGGAAAAGAACAACGCACGCACTACGTGTGGTTGCGCCAATACACATTTGAGGTCGCTTCTAAAAAACATTATCAGCCTCTCGGTGCCACTCAAGCTACATTTTGCCTACTAGCCAACCCGCAAGGACATGTATCACGGCGAAAACACAAGAACATAGCTCTACCAAAGACCTCGTAGAAGAAGGACGATGCTGCATAGACCACGACCCTCCCCCATGATACAAGCGATCACGAGCATACGTCTATTGCAAAACACTCGGACCATGGGATGCGGCCTGGAGTTTCTCTCTTCAGGTCACATACCTTTTTGGCAAGTCCGTCGGCCACGGATTGGCTCTCCTCGACCTTTTCCGCCCAAGCCTTGTTTGCCGCTCGCTGAGCCTCCGCCCTCTCGTGCAGGTCTCGAATAATCGCCACGCGCTGCCGCTCTTCCACCCCTTGCTCCTCCTCGTACTTGGCGATCTCCGCCTTCAAGTACGAACGGTTGCGCGGGTAATTGCATGGTGATCGAGCGATCGAGCGACACATTGACAAGCATACGATGCTCTTGCGTGATCATCATGAGTAATCATGACTGAGGTGTTGTTTTCAAGAGGGACGTTGGTGAATGAGAGTGGTGAAGGCGAGCAACACGTAGATTGCGAGGAAATTAAACGTACAATCGTGTCAAGTATCCCTTCCTGAAGGCGCAAACGGTTGGGAACATAGATGGTATCCACAACCTAGCCCTCAAACAAGGCATTGGTGTAGAAACTTCAACCGGCACGATCGGACGGCGAACGGCGAGCTTCTTGTTGCTCGTATTTACGTCTAGGAAAGCACATTTTACGGAAGAGGCCGCTGTGAAGCTAACGTCGACCGCGGACCAAATATGTACCAAGCTAAAAGTTCACTAGCAGTGTTGTATACCCCAGGGCGCCTGCTTGCATCGGGTGGCTGTCTTTTGAGGTGCGAGTCCCTCGACGTCACCAGGTCACGGCGCGGCATGTAACGCAAGCTCTGGGTTGGTTGCCGAACACAAGCCTCCCCTCAACACACCTCCAACTCTTCGGTCTTCTCTAGGTGCTGGTCAGTCTCCTGGTTGATGGTCTGGATATAGTTGAACAGCGAGAAATGCTCGTCCTCCTGCTTGATAAACACCGCCACCAGCCGGTCCAGGTCGTCGATGTTGGACACCGTCTTGAGCTCTTCGAACGCCTCTTCGTACCACTGTGTGTTTACAATGGCACGGTGATGCAGTACTCTCACAGGTCAGGTTTGTGGTCTAGTTGTCTGTGTTCCCGAGATAGCTTTTGATGTTGACTTGTGAAATTGGTACACTTTGTGCTTTTTTTCGTTTCGTTTTCTGCTTGTTTTTTTTTTGCGGTTGTGCTTACCACACGAACTAACACTGTTTCTGCACTTTGAGCAGTTGGGCGCTTGTCGCCAATCCGACTTCCGGATGCCGCAACCAGCATGTTGTTGTTGTTGTTGTTGACTTCACATTAAACCGTATGCCAGTTGCTAAATGCCAAAATCTAGCAAAGACTCTCGGCCCGTGGTCACGAAAGTGCTGGAGCCATCTGAGGATCTAAAGAACACGCACACGTAGCAAGAAAAAGGTGTACAAGAGCCCGAAGAGGTACTACTACACCTATATATAATCCCTGCAGCACCGTACGCGTGCCCAAAACTGAACTACACGTCCGTCTCACCGTTCGACTACAGCAACATCACCCCCTACTTGTCCCACTCTGTACCAAAACGAATGATTGCCGACTACAGCATACTTGCTGTCTGAAGTGCTGTCTGTACAAAAACACCATGGTAGGCATGGAACAAGAAGCTGGCGGGGCACAAAGCTGCTGTCTGAAGTGCTGTCAGAATGTGTCTGCGGACGTACAGTGAAAAAGAACAACCAACCAAAGCCATGATTGCAATGGACAATCACCCGAACCTCTCCCGATCGTCTGTGTTAGGCACGCAGTGAAAATATCGACAATAGCTAAGAATCGTTCCACATTGAAGGGGTCTTCCACGATCAGGCACATAACCAAGGCACCCGGGTTAGCCACGCCATCTCTGACGGGTCTCTCTACAAAACCAGTGACGACGTCATCACATCATCAGCATAAACATCTTTAATATCCGATTAGCGCGGATCGAACGCACGTGACCAACTGAATGAACCGAACTTATTCTCTTTGCTCGATCTAGCAACGGAGATCCTTTGAAGGGGTGTGTCGGCAAGCAGGAACCACTGCCACCCTTTCACGGAAGATCAGTCAAGGTGTTGAAAATGGAGCCACTCTGTGCATGGATGAGAAATAACAAGTTCTCACGCGCGGAAGCAGCAGTAACGGAGACCCTATGTGAAACGAACATTTCTACAGCGCATATGCTGTGTTACACCGGCGTAGTGGCGCCCACCTTAATCTTATCCTCGATGGCTCTATCATTGGCTTGTTCTTTCTCAAGAGCTTCCTCCATGTTCTCCACCCTGGACCGCAGCACTTCCTCCTCGGCAAAGGTGAGGTTTCCGGCCTTCTCCACAATCGCCAGAGTGTTGTTCATGTCTTTACTTTCCCTCGCCGCCCTTTCCACGCTCTCCTCAAACCGCTCGTTCTGATGGAGCGAGATGAAAGGGATACGATGAGACAGAGTTTGCGTCGAAATATTTTGTCGAGAGTGTTCGAGGGAAATTAGGTTTTTTTTTTCTGCAGCCATTTGACGGTTGACCATCTTGTGGCGTGAGTATCGTGCTACCGATTGCCAGCATGCTGTGCGGTAGAACAAAGGAAGAGACGATGTACCTCGTGGCAAACTGAACGGAGGAGGATGGCGATTGTTCCTTGCTGACATGATAGAACCTGTCTGGGACTTGACGCTTCTACGGATGGCAGCGGCAAGCACCGCACAGAAATACGCGATGGTGATGCTCCGGATGCCTGCATCTGCTACATGTTGGCACACACACACCAATACCTGTAGCTCCACGAACTCGGACAGCTCGTCCATTCTCGTGTCGAATTGCTTTTTCGCCTCTCGATTTTGGGCTAAGATGTCCTGATGGGTTTGTCCATTTGATCGAGAAGTCGAAAATTTTTGAGTAAGCAAGGGGAGCAATACCTTCAGCCTGCACAAGGCGTAGAGGATATCAAATCGGGGAGAACCTGATGAAGCTGAACCAAGGTAAACAGCTATGGCGGGATTGGCACGCACATCACACAGGAGTCGGCGAGCTGCGGAGTGCTGTGGCTGGATATTACAGCGAGTGCACCCTGCGGTGGGTTTGACAATGAGCAACAACTCACTCTCCCTGTACTAGTGCCTTAGTTGACCAAAACAATCTTGCGACGGACAGACATGACGTGTTTTCGGGAACATCCGAAACTGTTCGACGCGCTTCTCCTTCAACATTTCCGCGAGGCACTCCTGCCACCAGGAAACGTCACGTTCGACTGACTTTAGGCGCAATCGGGTACATCCGAACGTACGGGGGTGCGCACGCTCTGTTCTATCGTACAAATGAGATGCCAGCGGCTTCAAACTCTGTTTTAGTCCAGGGAGGGGACGGAGAGGAGGCGAACGAAACGCCCACGAAGAAAAAACAACTTATCAGAACCCGAAGCCTGCTTCTCCGCTGCGAGCCTCGATCCTCCATCACCTCTTTGGTCTTGATGAGCTCCTCCCGATGGTCATTGATAGCGGACGCGTGCGCCATGAGGCTCGAGATCTCCCCGCGGATTTGGTGGATGCTGGCCTCGAACTGGGCGTGGACCTCGTTGGCGGTGGTGCGCTCCTTGCGGAGGTGGTTGATCTCCTCCTTCAAACGGGCGTTCCCGTTCATGATTTCGCTGTGCCGCATCAGCAGCTGAAATGCCGGTTCCGTGACGCGTGTTCGTGTTATTTTGTCGTTTGAGGGTTGAAGGAGGGGGTCACCGGGGAGCGATAAGTGTGTTCTGTGAGGAGAGAAAGGAGCAGAATTCTCAAGTCATGTGTGTGAAGTGACTCGACGACGAATGAAGGAGAAGCACGGCACGACAGTCGCGTGCGGCCCAGGGCTTTCACTACCGTAGAACTTGACATTTAACACAAACCGCCCTTCCTCTCTGTTGGCTTGCAGCTGACACTACAGAACTTTACTCGCCTTATTGAGCCGTGCCTCGAGGTTTGACGCAAGCTTTTTCTGGTTTTGATCCGCCTGCTTCGTTGGGTCGAGTCCGTCGGCTCTCTGGTGTGCCGGGTTTGGGGTCGTCCTGCCACAACAAGTATGGTTTTTTACAATCAGCTCTTTCGTTTTTCATCAAAGAGATATTTGTTGCTGGCGTGCTCACTGAAGAACTATTTAGCACGTCTAGAAAGGGCAACATGTTTTGTTTACTTGCGGTGTTACCTAGTTCCCTGTGCATGTCATTGCTGATGGCGTTCCTATCCTCTTTATTAGTTCTAGGTCTCAGCAGTGGTTGTCGTCAGGCCCATTCTTGTCCCTCATATGTGTGTTAAATTTGTGTTGAGTTCGGCACGTTCAAAACTTCAAGTGTGTTTTACGTTATGTATATTGCAAGCTTCAGCTGCAGCACATATTTAATTACTGTACGGAGCGACAATCCTTGCCGAACGTGTTTGCTGCAATAGTACCGGTGTATATTTGTTTCTCCTAATAGTACCCCGCGCTATGGTTGCTCTCGGATCATACCTGTGAAGATTCAGAACATCGATTGCTCCCGTCTTTGTTCGGAGTCGAAACGCATCTATCTCGTTCCTCGCTTGTCGCAACGCCTGACACAACCCAAAACAGGAAAAATGCAACAACAATATAGACTATGTACCTCGGCGGCGCATGGAAGGACAGAGTTGTGTACTACATATTACAGAGCATTTCTTGTCGAGGGCAGAGGGGCACCTCAATAGTGATTGCTACACATTCAACTAACTGTTTGGTACTAGAGCAGGCCTTTAACATGATATCAGAGAGCAGGCTTCCGTCAAGATGACCGTGGGAACTCTTGTTATGCCTGCTCATTGACGTGCAGCCGCCCTTTCCTACTGTACTGGCATGCGTCTGAGAACAGCCGCATACGCAGCGTGTATGTCACAGTTCAACCGACGGGGGCATTTCTACACACAATGCCGTGCGGACGATCGTTCCTCGCTGTAACGTGTCACGACTGCATGTATGATGATGCCAAATCATCGGGCGTCAAAGAGCTCACCCCGTCAATATCATCCACCCTCCTCTGTTCGATGATAACCTGTCTCGTGAAGACATCCCCTTTTGCCTGGAGCTGCAAGATACTGTCGCTGACCGCCCTCTGGTTCATTTTTTATGTGATGTTCGCCTCGCCAAATCACGGCGCTCCTCTCTGTGCTCTCCGAGACCGGCAATGTGGGAACACGTCGTCAATATGTGTCTCATCACCCGGGACACGCAAAATGAAGGGAAAAAAAACACACGCACAGAAAGATCACCCAGCGTTGCTCAGCCTTAGCGCCAAAATACGTAGACCAGACTATTGATGACATACAAGAGCATTGAGTTCTTCCCTCATAGAGTAATTTCTTCAGAGAATACAACGTGAAGGTTCACCCACGTATTATTCGAGAGAGACGAGGGAGCGTTCCGCGGGGAGACGAAGCGGCACACGCGAAAAGCCGCCGCTCCGCACAAACCTCAACACCTCAACCCTCAACACACAAATCTCGCCGCATCACGGGGGCTCCGTGGATGCCTCAAGATTTGAATTTCAAACCTCGCGTGTGCTAGCGATGTTTTGTGTTTCCCCGGGCACAAGCGGCATCCTCAGCTATTCCCCCCCCCTCCCCCTCAGGGCTACGAGTGTAATCTGTGCTGGTGTTGTTTCTCCCCCGGGTAGACGTGGACGTCAAGCGCGAGGACCAAATGATATCAACAGCGGCATTGGAAAAAGAAGAGTTCGACGATGCGTTTTGGCGAGAGGTTGATGCAGTAGAAGCTGCTGCTGGCCTCGAGCAGCAGGGACAGAGCACCAGCAGTAACACTAGCACCGTTGCAGAGAACCTTTCACCAACGATGACCCCGCATCAGCAAAGGTCGAAACAGGAGACTTGTCATACGGATGGCTCCAACGTTCAGGGGATGCTACGATATCGGTGGAAGGTCGCCTCCATCTCTGTGCACGGTGATGGGTCCAAGATCGAGGAAGAATGGATAGGGGAGGTGAGGCCCTGGCAACTACGTTCCCTAGATGTTGCTGCGTGCCCGTTCTTTCCATTTGAGTTCGTTCTCGCGTAGCTCAGGTGTGGTAAGCGTGTCAAGTCGCATGCTGTGGTCGAAGAAATCAGACCCGAGTGCTGCTGCACACTCTTCATTACTGTAGACTGGTATACATTAAGCCTACAACTGACTGTATACTGCTGTAGTCTTGTATAGTCTACATGTAGAACACGTGCAGCACAGCAGTGCTGAGGTCTCATCTAGAGAAAAAGTCCAGTTCGACTTTCTATTGTCATATTATCATGATGCCCGAAAAAGACAAAGATAGCAGTGCATGCAAAATGTGCGATTAAATCAAAGGCAAGGCATGCATATCAGATGAAAGTTATGCCCGAAAGATAACGCAATGTCTCACAGTTAGTATTGGCCTAGGATTCAGGCGCGTTCCTCAGGTTCACAAACCGTTCTGGTTCCCCCCCTTGCTCTGAAATTTGATGTTTACGTGACGGTTTGTGTGTCATCTTCGGCCGTTTCCCTCATGATGAAGGGGGAACTAGAGGTTAATTGCCGACAAGTTGCACCCAGTGGGGCGATCCAGGTGGAGAACGTTGTAGTGACGGCAGACGGAGGAGGTGGCAGCGCGATGGACATACCTCGACACGCGATGTGAGCTTCGCCTGTGTCGGTTCGACTTACAATATTCGTACACGCATTGCTCTCACAACACCGACCTGTTGTGACGATGCGAATTCTCGCAATTCTGCCCATGGAGGAGCCATTTGTTTCCTCGTGCCAAACATAACGAAAATAACCCAGCCTCGCGTGCACTGACCCCTCGTGTCAAGCATAGGAAAGTATCAGCCTCGCATACACTGACCCCCCCCCGTGGACTTCAACCCTACGCCAGGACTCATTTTTCGACGGACGGTGGCTCTTTGTCTCCGTTGGAACCCATTCCGGTGACGCGAGAACCGCCATCGCCACCCTTTCTGCTGCTTATAGGGTTGGGTATCGGATGCTCGATTATCATGAGCGGTCTCAAGCTGCTCGAAGAAAACCACGAGCTCCCGCTTAGGGTTGATGCGGGGGAAAGCTGCTACCGCAGTAGAAACGTCGGGCGCGGCACCGACAGCATCGTTTCAACCGTCAGCGGCGGCCGCGATGCCGCCGTTGCTGCAGCTGTAGGGACAGGGCTGCCACGGAAACCAGAGCTGCCGCCGATGCAGCTGGCACTGCCAATCGCGACACCGGAGAGGAGACGGCTCGCGCCGACCGAGTTTGCGACGCCCTCTTCGCACCCTATTTCTGAACCCCCCCCAGGCAAGGACAACCGCGACCACGACCGCGACGAGAGCGAAAGCGAAACGCTGCTAAGGGCTGGGGTGCCCGACCCAGTCCTAGCGAGACTAGTCTACGACTTCAGCCAGGACGCTTCCATTTCTTCTTCCCCACTGCCTTCCGCTTCGTGCAGCGAGAACAGAGACATCATTGGTAACGTTGAGTGTCCCATCGCTCGGCCGTCGGCGTTGACAAGCGGAAAGGATTTCGACGGCATGCTTCCGACAATGGTAGACCGAGCACCCAGAGTCGCGCCGTCCACGGACAACAACCAACGACACGAATGCGGCGACTCTACCTTCGCGTTGGATCGAGGGCAAGTGTTGAGCAGCGGCAGGAAGGGCGAGGACGCGGAGGAAGAAGTGACAGCGGCGGCCGCGGTCCTTTCGTCAGGAGGGGAGAAGGCTGGTGGAGAGACGCGTGCAGCGGTCGCAAAAGCAGGCGCCGGCCTGACGAACGCAGCAGAGAGATGGCACGATTTTGGTGATGATGCTGCTAGAGATGGCGGTGCCGGCGATTTTGGTGATGGTGTTGAGCGTAAGCAGGTCAGGAGGGTCGCGGGACCGAAGAAGGAAGAGGGGGCGGCTGTTCCGGACGGAGAATGGCGAAGGTGAGGAAGGAACGATAAAGGGAAGATACTTCCGACATTGTCATCGGGGCCGTGCATTGATCCATGTTGCCTTTTCTCCCGATTCCCGGCTTGGTTCCGCTTTTCCTGTGGGCGGCGCCCATCATGGTGACACGCCTCTGGGTCACCGATCATTCGAAGTTTTGAGCTTAGCCAGTATTCCGGGGTACAAACATCGAGTTCATTGCTTTTGCTTGTCATCCTCTTTCTCTGCACACCCAACATCGCGCTGTTGTACCCCTACATCACAGCACCTCTCTTGTACCACGCGCCCGCCAGTAGTACCCAGCTCTCTAGCTCCGCGAGTTGCCACGTCCAAGCCTCCATCCTGCTGGAAACAGTCGAACTGACACAACCAAACACACCCAAATCCATCATCGAAATAAGGCCGCTGGTGGCATCGCCTCCGAATCGCCGACGTACAGCCGCCGGCCGGAGGATGCCGAAAGTCCGCCACGGAGCGCGAAACCGAAACGGGGGGGTTGTCGTGCTTTGCCTCCACAACGACGACAACGACCGGGAGGCGTTCACGAGCGGTGCGGCAATCAAACCAGCTGCTTCTTCGCTTGGCTCCAGCGTCCGGCGTGCCGGTGTTCGGGAGGATCAACAGAAGGCTGAAGATGGAGAACACCTGAGAAAGCGGCTGTTGCCGGTGGCAAGTCTTGCGCACCCTTCCAACGAGAGTCTTTCCCGGAAAAGAAACAAGGCACCCCCGCCGCCGCAACCGCGAAGCCTTCACACAGCAGCGGGAGCATTTCGCGGCAGCAGGTCGAAAGGGGAGTCCTCGTGGCTGGCTCTGCGCCGGGCGTTGCACGAGCGCTACAGAGACTCCGAGGAGCATGGGGCCGCAGAACAAGCCGCCGCGGAAGCTGCTGAGCACGGCCGCGGGGGGCGCGCAGGTTCTTCAAAGGTCGGGCGGGGTGGCTGTGGAGGAGAAGTGATGTCCCCGGGGATACGGTGAGTCGAACATGTGTATAGCGTTGGACTTTCGGCGCCTTCCGATTTTCCTTCTCTCTTTTTAGTTTGAGGTGGGAAACAGGTGCTGCGTCAGCACGTGCTTCTGTTGCTGCGATTCCTAGGCCGATCATGCCGGAGGCGGCAGTAGTGACCGAAACTCCACCCAGGAGGGTAATACGTTCGGTCTCGATTGTTTGAACGTATGCATATGAACGCTTCGCTCCGGCCCATCCCCATGCGGACGCACTTTCACCTTCACATACATAACAGGGTTTTCCGCAGACAAGATCACGCGTTCACGTACGTTGACGCGCTTGCAGCGAGGCTCGCCGCCGAGGATGCCGCTCGTTACAGGGTATTGTCCTTCGAGACGAGTGCAACCGGCAGCAGGTACGACAGCAGGCATGCCCAATACATGCCCATCGCGTGATCACCGCGTTAGATGGTTTCAATCACACCATTAGGCTTCCTCTACCTGTCTCCGAAGCACTTCTTGGCCGTTGTCTGCGTGTATTTGTTTTTCCAATGTTGCCTGTGCTTCTCGCGATGCTTGACCCTCGAAGCGTGAGTTGCACGTGTTGGTCTAGCTGTCTAGCTGCATTCACGCCCTCCCATACACCCCCCGCTCTCTTTCTCCAACCGCCCTCCCCTGTCTGCAACTTCACTTATTTGCCACCCGCCCCTCCCCCAATTTCCTTCCCACCAGAAAGTTTGTCGTGTGCGACATCCGGCGCTTCGAGGAGCGCTACCCCTACACGGCCTTGCCCGACCCTTCTCTCTTGCGCCACCTCCGCCTGCCAGACCCGACACACCACCACCAGCCGGGGTCGTCATCATCGCCGCCGCCGCAGTCATCAACACCGCCTCACGTGCCCTCTGGTCCTGCCATCGCAGAAGACAGCAGCAACCGTGGCGAGTGCGACAGTCACCCAGGCGATGGAAGAAATACCGGTGACAACGTCCGCTCTCCCGCGACAACGACGACGGCGTCTCCCGTGAGCCTGGAGCCCTTGGAGCTACCACAACCAGCGGTGTTTCCAACGCCGAGCCCGGATGGTTCTGGAGTATCATCCCTCGACCCGGTTTGTGAGAAATCGAGCCATCCTCCCTGCCCGTGCCCGTCCTCGCCCCCTCCTCGGCCTTCGCCTCTTCGGCATATGTACGAGATCATACGGGAAGGCTGCCCGTGCCGCATGTACTTCGACCTGGAGTTCGCCCGCGGCCCGAATCCCGGCCTGGATGGGGAGGAGCTCGTCCGTGCTTGGATCAACGTCGTTGCCGGTGAGTTTTTTCCTATTCCGTGCGTGGGTTGCCATACAGAGCGATATTTGAAAGTACCCGGTTACGATATGGCTTTCTTTTTTTCCTATTCCGTGCGTGGGTTTGCCATACAGAGCGATATTTGAAAGTACCCGGTTACGGTATGGGTAAGTACAGCGGCTTTCTTTTTTTCATTTTTCAGGTCCAACAGACGTTGCTCGTGTCCTACAAATATTCGGCGAAACAGGTTCGCGGCGAGATAAGTTTGTTGTTGAAAGTGCTGCAATCTCAACGACGCACGACCTACGCCATTGCCCACCCCCCTTGTGCCAACCCCGCCGCACCAAAGTACCGTGCCTCGCTCGGAAACGTCTCTATTGATGGCGATTTCCCAACCACGCAATTCACAGCCCAGGAACCCTACTCCTGTTCACCCGCAACCCTATCGCCCACCCACGCCGTTTTACCCAATAGCGGAATGCCTTCATGCAGACCCCGAATCTCCGATACCCTAAACCACCTTCGCTCAAACAGGAAAACTCCACCGGGAATTCGGCGTCAGCGTCGGCGCCTCCAACGTGTTGGATCTAGACTCTTCTACGCCCAAAAAGTTCAGCCGGCACTTGATTTTTCACTTGCCCGGAGATCAGGTTCGTTGTCATCGGCGTGGTCGTAAGTGTTGGTCTCTTCTCTTGTTCGTTAGAGTTTTTGTTTTTGTCGCTGCCGTTGTTGTCACCACCCAGCAGCAGCAGCAGCAGTAGCCACCACCGGATGCGAAGACGTTTCAGGCTGTTCGTTGAAGCTCTTCGTGTGGTTGCACTCACAGGACGTCCGTGCGAAGGAGTCCATCAAAAGTCGAAAGAACGACGAGAGCATCAGATGTGGGATAGATGGAACGATGGAACACCCCAACAACTCGGTGGAGGGGCCAGGGAGGGGCTCGGGCAGTGCGAAGAAAGCGACAAACCGGAAAGGGAACAGAGTCAGCCGATAAAAGAGCTATTGCTAATGCATAGCAACCCCGGATTGTTTCCGCCCCCCATCCTCGCAACGGTATCTACGAGAGAGAAGGGTACAAGTTCTCTGCTACTGAAAAGAACGAAGCAAGTTTATAGGTAGCACGATTGTTTGGAATCGCGTTGTTTCCGGCCGACCATTACCAACAGAGGGAGCATCGAGAAGATGGCTGTAAAATACCAGCCTTCGTGCGCTTGCGCCTGCCCATACACTGAAAATCCCCAATGACCAACTACCGTACCTTTTCGCGTTTCCCCTGCTTGCTTGTCCTGGGCCCTCTGTGCTACGCATGCGCACAGCTCTTCCTGGACAACTCTCACGTCGGAAGGTTCGTCAACAGTCTCGCCGCCGAACTAGAGTCTTGGCGGGCTCCTCAGTCTCCATCGACCTCGGCGACACCGCCGGGCATCGGCCGCGACGATATTGTGCCGACCTCCGCCGCCGTCGCTGTCCCTCACTGTGGCAGCAGAACCGGCGGCGGGAACACCGGACGTGGGGATCACTTGGGCGGGACGTCTGCGTCCGATGACTTCGTCCCGACCTCTGTGGTACCCATTCCTACGGTGGCTAAGACTCGAAGGGAGGGCAATGGTGACGCGTCGACGGGTTTAACGCCAACGATTGCCACTGCACCAAAAATGGCCAAGGAATATTGCTCCAACGACGACAAGACGAAAGGCGGCGGCGGTAGCGGGGGCGGTGCTGGGGCGCTGGAGAGACTGTGGGTGATGGACGGCAACGGTCGGAGGGTGCTCTTTGCCGACGTCAGCGTTTACACCAGGTGCGTACATATTTTTTGTGTGCTTTTCGGGTGGGGAACAGGGGTGCGTGGGAACGGGGATTTGGTCTTGGATTGGACAGCGGATCATCCCTTTCGAGATCAGGCTGACTCAATAACTAGCACGTGCGTACGTGGCCTGCGGGCAGCCATTAAGAATGACGCACGATCCTCCCGTGCCTCACGCTTTTCCCGCCGGTAGGACGCGGCCGAACAATCGACCGACCGGCCTCGTTTCTTCTCCTTCCCTTGCCTGCCTTTATCCTGCTGCCTCATGCCCCCTTCCTCAACAATGTCGGATCCTGTCTCGGGTGCGGTGGACAGCTACAACAACATGATCGATAACACCCGAACACACCACAACCACATCGCCGCCGCCGCCACCACCACCGAAAACATGAATAGGAACCGATGCTTCCGCCTGCTGGGTTCGAGCAAGTTCGGCAAAGCAGCTTGTCTTCGGGTGGCGGCGAAGAACCAGCGGACCCTCGCCCACATGGTGTGGAGAGGGAGGGTGGGAGGAGCGTTCGCTCGCACGTCGTCGTCATCGTCATCATCGTCGTCATTGTCGCCGCGAGAACAGAAGAAGCAGCTCCGTGACGTGGCGCGAACGCTGTTGGTGAGGTCCCTCGGACCTTGTGCCCCTCCGAACGTCGTCTTCTTTCTTGTCCACGAGAGGCGACAGGCGATGATCGGGATTGCTTGCGCGCATATACCTCTCGTCCTTCGATAAAGACCTACGAACCCGTCGAAAATTGAACGCTCGGCGGTTGTTTGCTTGGTTCATGTAGGTGATAAACCGAAAAACCTCTCTCCCTGGTCAGTCAGGGCTTATTTCATGTCGTTCAGGGGCTTCCATGCCTTGGCGTCCAAATTTGCCACTCCTGTATGAATGTTATCGTTAGTCCCAATCCGTCGCCTCCCATTTTTTCATCGTTGGCCATCACTTTCCTCCCCTGTGCTCACTCGATTGCCCGCCAACCCTCGCCCGGCCTTGGCATTCCGCCGCACAGCACGACTCCCTGGTCGTGCCGGCCACCCCACGTACTTCCCCAGCGGAGCGCTTTCTGACCGTCGGCGGTGGGGCAGGCCAGCACCGCTATTCTAGGTTCGGTAGCTCCAGGAACCAAGCAGGCGATTGCTCTTCCTTGCAACAGCGGCAGCAACACGGGTGGTCAACTGCCAGCACTATGTCTGCCGAACGAGACGGGCACCGCGGCAGTTCGCAACACCACGGATGCGGTAGCAGCGATGGCGACGGGTGGAGGGTGTCGACCCAGGGGTTCGGGCTGTCGCCGTTTCCCGCGGTCGATTCCTTCCTGCGGTGAGTCTGCCGTGTTTGTTCGTGCTTGATCCTCTTTGCTCCGATTCAGCTCGTTTCTGCCGTGCTCGTGGTGCGTTGATCGCTTTGAGGGTTGTTTTCGTGCTGCTTGCGTGTAGTAAGAACTTGCGCTTGCGCACGATCGCCACTTCTCTTGTCGGCTTCCTTGTTGTCGCTGCACTTCTGCCAAATCGGCGACACAGATTCGGCCGTCGGCGTCTAAAGACTAATGCTTTCCCGGTGTTTTTTGCGCGCATGGGCAAGATGGTCCCATGATATCACGGGATAAACCGAAAGCTGTTGGTCATGGGCTACACCAAAAAGCTCACAGGCTCGCCGAACGTCGAGTCTGGGTGGTGTGTTGTTGCGGTGTCGTACTCGACACGCGTCTTCCTTCTTTCTGTCGCGTGTGTGGCAGGCGGGAAGGGGTTTCCCCGTAACGCGGACCGGATTTTGCTGTCTAAAAGCGCTCGGCAAGCGGCAACGAACAACGAGATGTGCATACCGTCTGCTGTTAGTGTTGTTGAGAGTGAAGCCACCGATGCTCTGAAATGCGCAACATTGGAAGAGGCTGTTCCGGGATCAAGAACGTCTCTCCCGCTCGACTAGGATGAGCGGTCGACGGCCTGATCTCGGCAAGGGCTAGGGCAAGGAGAAAGAAAAAATCACCCACCCACCCACCCACCCGCCGGCCCGCCCGCCCTCGGACACTCATGGCACGTCAGGACTCTGGTCTGCCAGGGAGGCACGAGAGGTGAACTCCGACAGTGGAGCTACACGGCAGGTCAAGTTCCGTCACGCACCGTCGAGCACGACGGTCAGGAAGGCAACGCCAACGGGAGTGGCAATGCGGGTGGCACTGGGTTGGCAAGCCTCGGGAGCCCGAGCGCACCACGAACCCCGGCTACCGTCGTACGCAAGCTCACCCACCAGGTACATACCATATTATAGTTCGCGAGCGTCCGTCCAGAAGGAGGGGATCAGAAGAATGGGATGCATAGTTGATGGTATCACAGGTGTTGCACCCCGTCCGAAATCCTGCGTGTCAGTGTTTGTTCAACCCCCCGTGCGATGTGTCCTGATTGCATACAATAGTAAGACCTGGAGCAAGTTGTACGTACGTGCCTCGGATCATTGTTTGATATTCCTTACTTGTGCGCAGGTTGCCAACAACCGTTGGTGCTGGAATATTGGGAGGGCCCACAAATCGAACCATGTGTTCTTGGTGACGGACTTATCAAGAGGCGAGGTTCGTCAGCACTGCCACGACCAGGTGAAGACCACACTAATGGATACCCCTGATTTGTTTCTTAGAAGACTCACCAAATCGCCTGTCTGTGACGCTGGACAGTCCAGCTTATTGTTTGCGTAACAAGGTGTAAACAATGAGCCCAACCGCTACAGGACGCAGGCACGAGGAGTGGACTTTGTGTGAGATGCACGACCCTGTATGATGACGGGTGCCCCCTTCTCCCTCACTTTGGTTTTGAAAACACCACTTTACTCCACTGCGTACCTCGCCCGCCCCCCGAACTCTCTCGACTTTTCTACATAGGCACAATCTCCCTCCTCCCGCCTCAATCGTTGTCTCCAGGAATGCCGGCGGTCCGGGTATCGCTCAAATCCTGTGCGGCTACCCATGGGCGTGGCGCCTTTAGAGGATGATCTTGAAGCGTTTGAGCTGGAGATTGGATTAGCGGCGGCGATGCGAGAATCTCCCGCCGACTGGGCGGCGGTTGCTTAACGCAGTAAATTGCTTCCTTCATTCTGTCGTACGACTCACATCAGTCTTGCCTCGGCTGTAGTTGCAATAACTACGATGCGTATGGACATGGCGAAATAATCGAACTCCGGTTGGACCGACCGACGTTATAGTTGAGGTCGCCATGCTTGTTCTCTTGTCCTTGTTGCTGGGATGAGATTCGAGCGAGCGATCAGTCGCCCTTCTTGCTATAGGTGACTCGCTCGTGTGTAGCTGGTGTCTTTATTGGCGCGCTTTTTCTTTGGGCGCAACAGGGGAGGCCGGTAAACCACAACAACACAGAAAGGAATCAGAACGAGACGGTGTGGTCTCTCGATGAAATGTCGCGGAATCGACAAAGAGGGCCAACGTCGTTGCGGAAAACAGGGAGCTTGTCCCACGTAGCTGACCACGCGCACATGGTGGCACAGCGCCCCCTCCCTCCCTCATTCAGCCGCAGCGATCGTTATGATGCGTACACCAAGAAGACACTGACACTGGACGGTGTGATCGACTCTTTATTTTGAACCCTGAACAAAAGTCCTAATGGGCAACCAAGATACATAATCGAATAAACGCAACAGACCTACTGTAGAAGACAACGAATCATGTGCGAGGTTAGTTGTAGTCATATGCGACTCCGCTCCCGGTGAAGAGTGCCGTCTGGTATTTGTTCCTCCAGCTGCAGTCCCCCCTCTCCCCGCTGCTCCCTGTGCCGTCACCGCTCTGGTAGCCAACGAAACAGTCGCACACCCCTTCCTCCTCCACGCAGATGCCGTGAGCCCCGCACTCGACGTCCTCTCGAGTGCCCGTCTGGACTTTTTCCACCGTAACTAAACCCAGAGTGGTGCGGTCCTTGAAGCACATCGCGGTCGTAGGGGACGGGAGGAGTGACCAAATTCGTGTGGAGCCGGGGGGAAACAGGCAAACAACTCCTTCCGAACGCTAGTATGGGAATGATCAACGGTTTGCCTCGGGTTTGCCCCGCTGTTGCGTAGATGATCGGTGTTGCAGGATGATCAATGTGTCGTTGCTGGGTCGGGGGGCGGGGGGGATCGACGTTTCGCCCTGGTACGCTGTTTCTTAGTTCGTGCACCGCACCGTAAGCTCTCCGGTCGCCCCTTTAGTACCTACAGTACGATGTGTCTGCTTTGAAGATGTTATTGATGTTGAAGCACCGAATCGTGACTCACAGTCCGGAGAAGGAAGTCCGTGTTGGGCTTGATGAGGGGAAGGTCTCCGTTTTCCGTGAGGAACTCGATGTCGATGTCTGATGATGAACAAAAGGGGGCATAGACAAGGCGAAAGGGAAGAAGATGATCAGACGAAGAACACTCAACAACATTGGCAACTACCCCATCATGTTGCTCCAAGATTTCCTTGGTCGATTCCCGCCTTCCTAATCAATACGATCGCGTCGACTGCTGTGTATGGCCGAACCCCACTCCACCCGAGAAGATACGACGCGGCTAGGTTGCATATGCCATAAATGCAACCGAATATCAGGTGTGCGGCCTGACTTTCAAGAGAAATCTCCACGAGTGCAGGTTTCTACCTCCTCCTCCTTAAGTTTCTTCGGGGTTCAATAGTGTGTCCACATCGGGGAACCAACACAACAGATGCCACAAAATACGACGGAAAACTGCCGAAGCCGATTCCTTGGCGGGAACCAGCGTGGGTCCCGAATGAAGTATGAGTCCTGAATGGAGTACGAGTTCGTGGATGTGAACTCTAATGCTCGTGCGCTGGGGTTGGCCCGGAAGAGTCGTCTGGACGATTGCCTGTCTGCTCCCTTGGTACAAGTCAAGCCCAAAAAGTCACAAAGACGTGCCGACCTCAAGAGAAAAACAAAATGAATAGCACACACAGTTGGACTGGAGCCGAAACGGTGTATGGGTGCTCAAAACCGAGGCATGTATCAACCAAGAACGCGTGATAGCTCAACCTGGAGTGTGATTGCATGACGTCTCTCACATTCCGTGTCGTTGCACGCTGAAGTTGTCCCGTTTGTGTAGGTAACGTTGACGTCAAGAATCCTGTCAAAGGAGATAGTGGAGACGGGAAAAAAGGATGGTTAACAACTCCACACAGGGTGTTCTCCGTCCGAAAGGTTCACTCCCGACGCACCATATTGCACCCAGCACAATAAAATTCGAGGACGGGATTATCACATGGATTCCAATTTTTTTTAAGGTGCAGGTCTTTCGGCGTCCAAGTACGCATATCTATGCGGAGAAAAAAATGAAGAGAAGACTAGCTGATGGAGAGCGCACCACGGGGTTGCTTCCAGCGCTGCCTCCAGGCCCGCGGCGCTGATGAAATAGTCCAGTTCCACCGTCGTCTCGCCCCGGAAGCTGAGCGTGAACACCCCTGACCCCGCGGTGCAGTTAACCCTCTGGATGTCCGTCACGCCGGGGGTGTGATAGTGGTCACCGGTAGGACACCTGCCATATCAAACAACGTTTCATAGCGGCAGGGGGGGGGGGGGGGGCTCCTAAAATGGGGGG